GGTATAATCTTTTGCTGAAAAATTTACTTTTTAGATTTTGTATTTTATGAAATCATCGAACTTAGAAATTCATTTTTTTTTTTTTTGAACGGATAATGATCAAAGAGCTCTCTGATTTTAATTCTCAAAAAAACTTTGCGAATGAAAGGTTATTTATTATTTCTTTCTTTCTTTGAAACTTAAATATATAAAAAAAAACTTTAAAATGTCTCAAGAAAAATCTAATTAGACACTCGATTATTTGGGTTCGTTTACATGCATGAGTGGGAAAAATTATTTCCCATAAATCTGATATTTGGCGGCGAAGAATTTATAATTTTCAAAATTTAGTTTACAAATTAACATTCATAAGTATAGTATTCATAAGGCAACAACCATTCAAAGGCATTCAAAAAAAAACAGACCAACAAGTTCAAACCCAGAATGTAAAAAGAAAAATTCACACAAATCTAAATATATAAACTTATGTATGGTGCGATCATAACTGTAAATAAGTCCTTTCAAGTGTCATCATTCATCATTCAACTCTAATAAGATATTTATAATTTTCCAAGCAAAACAATAAATAATAAACAAAATTTAATATATTTTATCATTAGTAATCAGTAACCATAAAAGGAAATCAATATGCTTAAAAAACCTTAGATCATTCGTAATAAATAATTTGTATTATTAACCAAAAATATATAAATTAATAATGGATCTACACGTCAATAGCTTGCATTATTTGCTCTTTAAAAGGAAAATAAATATTATTTGCAAATCTCTCAGTTTTTTTAGATTATTCCCTTATTTAAAGGGGTGTTGCATACATTCTAAGTATGGCGAATAGAACCATGGATAACAATATGATCTCTAAAAAGAACGTTTTTCAAGTTAATTACATAACTTTTGCATTGAAAATCCGTGATATACAAGATCGTTAGCCGGTATCAAAGATCCGCAAAGTAACAACCGATTTGATATGGGAGAAAATCACAAGCCGGCCAAAACTGAAGCTCAAAAAAGATTACCTGGATTCCATTATTTATTTATTTGGAGAGTCATCTTCAAAAGATCTTGTTTGTAACGAAAAGTCGATGCAGATCTCACAAATTGAACAACGTCATACTCCAGTTGTATCACATGTGATGGGTTTTACTATTTCCCCCAGGCTCTGATTGGCTGGTATAATTGATATTAGATAGGGTTAGTTCTTGGGTGATTTATCACCGGTATTTTAATTTTTATTAAGTATCTGAGGGACTTGGAATTTTTTTGGGTGATGATGTTTATTTGTCACCCATTAGTACGTGACAAATAACATAGATTATATCAGCCAATCAGAGCCTGGGGGTATATTATTGAAATGAATCAATACGATGAAGTGAAGTGTCCCGGTAGCTTTTTTTTTTTTTAGCTCACGATTTGAAACAATTCCGCGATCCATCCAAGAAAATGAGATTTCTTAAATTGAATAAATATTTATGATGAACTAGCCGCATGTGTAATTAATCAAATTAATCAAGGGATTAATTCCATTTATAGAATGAACAAACCGATTCTTAGAAGTTTGTTCTAGAGCATTCCAACAAGATATAATCAGTTATGATCAGGTGATAACTGATAATCGTCGCGTATTCAGGATTTAAAACATGTTGGTAACCAATTTAGCAATTACGGAAAAACAATAGAGAGATTATGTCAACTCGCATTAATCATCTTAAATTACACAGATTAGCAAGACGAATTTGTTTTGATATATGTACGCGTTTAAACATTTAATTCGTACAAATCGTTTCTTTGTCATAAAGGAAGGAATTCCGTACTCAGTTTATTTTAATTTATTTTCAACAATTTTTTATTTTATTTGTCACTTTTTGATAGCCTAAACAACGAATAATTAAAATAAAAATAAAAATAAAATAAAAATAAAATAAAATAATAAATAATTTTTTGTATGTTTTCGCATGTCAAGGTATCATCAAAATTGGACAAACCCGAATCTATAACGGGTCCTTGAAAGTATGTTTACGATAATCTATTAGTAAAGTTTATATAAAAACAGGTATTGTATTTGTTTATTATTATTATTATTTTTTTTAATAATAGGGGCGCATGATGCCTCCTTCCTTACCAAACTGTAATCTTCGCGTTACTCCACATTTACCTGTTATACTAAAAAAGAATGCTCTCGCCAAACAAACGTTCCGTAAAAGTTTTTTATTTATTTTGTTCTTTGTTCGAATAATGCTTCTATGTGCAACCCATTTACTCGATATGTTTAACGAGAACTCATCTTTTTGAGCCGTATGGCTTTAAACAATATGACTATTCAACCTTTTTTTTTCATTGTTAGCTATTGTCATGATACCATTTAACTGGTTCATTCTACTGATCTACCGATAAGCTTAATAACTTTTCGAAATCTCTTTAATCCCTTTTTGAATCAAATACTTTATTTATATCGTTACACGTAGTTCCTTCTTTGCCGGTTGATCTGTCACCCGCAGTTCGGAAAATTACGATTTAATTTTGGAGGAACAAATTCCTTTTGCGGTTGGTACACAACAAATATTACGGAATTAACTAAGTTTAATCCTCAAAAAAAAATAATATCAAATTAGAAAGAATAATGATGCATATCGATAGAAACAAACTCACAGCTTTAAACTATGGCGATTTGTCTTTGTGTTTTTTTATGGTTAATATGGTTAAACAGATTTTCCAATAGTTAATAAACAAATTATCAACTGATTCGTTCCCAGAAAGAAAAAACAAAAATACTGTGTTGTCGAATCCTCTTTTCCCACGACCCAAAAAAAAAAAAATTTGACCCGTATTATTTCGGAAGAAAGAAATTTTAACATGTTCAAAATAAAAAGAAAAGGGTAACTCCTTAATCATTTTTATCATTTGCAAGATGCTAAAGTTAACAAAAAGAAATCCCGAATCAATGCAAAGTCGGTATATCGTTACAAACAAAAATTTCACCTTTATTACACCACATACGATGCGACGCTACACTACGCTGTAATATTTTCTTTCGCTTAATTTGAAAATAAAACGGGAATAAAATTCGCTTTCTGTCAAGTTTTTTAAGTTATCGTTGTGATACCGTATTGCAACTTAATAGCTGATTGGACCGCTGCGCGGTTTTTGTTCAACCCTTATTTTATTTGAATCCGAACTTTAAAAAAAAAAAATTCACATACTATTCGGCAGCAAAAGAATTAATGATCCCGAGCACAACCTCTGAGAGGTGCAATTCGAGTATGTAACAATTACCCAAGATAAAATACTGGATGTCCATGGTACCACAAAACAATTTTAAAAATACTTTTAAGATTTTTGGAAGATACAATTTTCTTAACATGGACTTTTAAACAGCCATTAGATTTTTATTGATTTTCAACTTTCAATCCATGCGACAAACATGTAAAACAAATATTGCCTCAATATGTCAGCCATGTGTTGGAAAATAAAAAACATTGACTCATATTTCTTTGTTCTTTTGTAAGATTTTTTTTTTAAAAAAAAAAAATGAACTATTCTTTGTTTCTTTTTTTAAAAAAATTTTTTTTATTTATATATAATTTTTTTTTTTAAAAAAAAAATTTAAAATAACCGTTTCACAACGTTTGAAAAACCTCCTAAAGATAATCATTTATTTCTCCAACTTACTTTATAGGTGCCGCTCGCCAATGACCGAAACGATTGCAAAAGAATGTTCGTCTGGTAAACAAAATAAAAATAAAATAAAATAAAAAAAATATTCCAATTGGAGGAATTGTTTAAAAAAAAATTTCATCATCTCGCTTCTCCTATTTTTTTCTTTTATTTGGCAGTACCTACTCTGTCGATCTCAATTTATGCACATAAATTACATATTTGCATCAAAAAGTAATCAATCGTGTGTATATTACCAGTCAAAGTTGGATTTTATAAATTGGTTTACCATAAAAAACTTTAGTGTGACTTGATTCTTATAAATGATGATGAAAATTTTTTTTTGTCATTATTCCTCCATTTTTTTCTTTTAAAAAAAAGTGGCCGTGCACGTTATCATTTCAACGGGGCTCTTCTCTTCTCTTTCCTCATTAATTGTCCATGACGATTAAGCCTTTTTAACGTCGTTAAAAGTGTGTACCTTTAATCCTTTAAATTTATTTGCATTTTATTTTTATTTTATTTTATTTTTTTCTTGTTACTATCTCTTTTGGCTCTTCTATCAAAACACGACCCTAAAAAAAGTCGATTTACTTTTTTTAACGTCTCATTTACGCTTTTTTTTAATTGATTCGAAAGGATTAGATACGATATTGGATAATTCTTGACTAAAATTTAACATTTAACGACCCATTATTTCTTCACTGTTAAAAATCGAACGATTTGGCCTCTAAGCAAAGGTTACTGCGGTTTCTTTCAAAACAAACAATGATCTCATCTTTAAATTTGTGATAATTAATAATAAAAAAAAAAAAAAAAATTGTCCCCTCCAAAAAAGAATTTATTCTCTCTCTCTTTCTCTCTTTTTTTTTTCTTGAATAAAAGAAGTTGCACATTGAATGTCTTACAGCTTCTTTTAATAAAAAAAAAAAAAAAAAAAAAGGTGAAAAAACAACGCCCAATAAGGCTACATTGATTACAACCATCCCAATTATTATTAAATGTCATTCGACGACTGAAAAAAAAACAAACCACACTACTCCTTTTCAATTTATTTATAAATACATTTTTTTTGCAATTTACCATCTTTTTGTCATATACACTTTTTTTTCTTTCTGTTAATATATTTTCATTTGTCAAATAGTTTTAATTTTTATTCCTTTCCTCCTTTTTTTTGCATTACTGATAGATAACAAATTATTATTTTATTCCCCAAAAAGAAAAAAAAATTCATTTTATCCATTATATAGAATATCCCAGTCAAGTCGAATTAAAAAAAAAAAAACTTTAAAATCTATAAATATATATATATATATATATTATTATTTTTTTTAAAAAAAAAAGAAAAAGAAATGAGTCTTTTCATCTTGGACGATATGATTGCTGACGAATCGGAATCTCATGACAACAAACGTGTAAAAATCACTACGGCCTGTGATACTTGTCGTAGAAGAAAAGTCAAATGTGATGGAGCATCACCCTGCGCTAATTGTACACGAGGAGGTCCGGATATTTTATTATTGTTTTTTTCACACTTCATTATCAAAAAATTTCTTGTGCTTTTATTTTGTCAACACGTGCCAAAATCAGAAATTTTCTGACGCGTTACATGTTTAACGTTTTAACATATACTAACCTTTTTCTATTCTTTTTTTAGCCTATTCATGTACATTTAGCGATGCATCTACTAAAAGACCGCGAGGACCTCCAAAGGGTTTCGTGGCCTTGATTGAAGACAGGCTTCACACCATAGAATCTCTTTTAGTGAATCTTGTTAACAAGGATAGTATTAATGAAACCAATAAACGAGAAAGAGAAAGTTCTACCAACGAAGAGTCCAACCAACGACAAAGGTTTTCAACTTTTAAAGTACGTCAATATTCCCCGACGAATGCTATAGCACCCGCTACACTATCATCGCCTCGTTTATTCATTCCAACAACGCCTCCGGCAGATGCGAATTATATTTCTGATCATTCCACAAATTTAATCCCAGGATTTAGTGATGATCTTGGTAGTGATGATGAGGACATACTTCTTCATAATTTAATCGCTCCAAATCCTTCAAACAGTTTACATGCTGGTTCATTTGCATTTCTAATACCAAACAATCAACAAAACGTTGTAGGTGGTTCTTACGTTGATCCTCCTTTACCATCTATAATTTCACAGTTCTCAGAACCACCTTCTCATATTTCAAAAAACTTGTTGGAGAGATATTTTAACCATTTTCACCCTTATTTTCCTATTATTAATCGTGGACAATTTTTTAAAATGATGTCTTGTCCTAATGTTGAAGATCGGCCCTCCCCGTTACTGCTTAACGCAATTTATGCTATTGGTGCGATGTTTCCTCCCACGCTCCAAGATTTTCATTCTTCGATATTTTATGATCGGTCAAAAAGTGAGTCACAGGAAAAATGTATTCCTTGACTTGTCATCCTCTTTCTAACCACCCAAATCTTAATAATTTGTTAGATTTGCTGGATAATTTTATTGATGTACCAAGATTATCAACTGTTCAGGCTTTAATATTATTATGTATGGTTGACCAGGGTAAACCATCGTCTTACAGGCCACAAACCTATTCATCGGTGGCCATCAGGATGGCACTGAGTATGGGATTAAATCGTAGGAACGGTGCTGTTTATCAAGGAAAAGGTCGTCATACAAAGAAATTAGTTTGGTGGGGATGTTTTATTTTGGACAGACTTAATAGTCTTGCGAACGGGGATCCGTTGACCATAAATGACAAGATGTGTGATATTGAATTTCCTTCACCGGATGAAGTAGATGATCTAGACGATGATAATCTCGCACAGCCACAATGTCATTCATCACAACAAGATTCCCTACGACAAAGTACATCACCGACATATAGTTCTTCATATGCGCAGCAGACCAATATTTTCGTTAGTTTTGCCAGGTTAGCAAGAATAATTGGACAGATTATTGAGCATTTACAATCCACGTCATGCATAGGTATTCCAGCATCCTGGACTCATCATGCGATGGTAAATAGTTTTGAAGTTTCTCTTTTAAATTGGCTCCGAGAATTACCACCATTTTTACAGTATGCTCCTTCCCCACATGACATGCCACTCCCTGGTCACATCGCTTCGTTGCACATGCACCATCAAACTTTATTCTTAATGCTTCATTATCCTTACATTGTGTCACATAACGCTCGTTCACCCCATGCGCGTATGTCGAAAATCTTTATCAAGTCACTTAATGCTTGCAGTAAGGCTGCTAGTGTAATCACTCATATCGGCGGTAAGCAAATATTCACTTTAATTCTTAAATTAAATAGGCTTGTTATGATTGTAATATTGATTTATTCTTTTTTACATGTACAACACACACACATATTTATATACATATATACATATTTACAGTCGAAGCTCTAAATAACATTTATGTGTGCATAACTTTCCCGACAATGTTTTATAGTTTAGGAAAGGCTGCAAAAGTTCATGTTATTAACCTTGTTTCACCTCATCGCGGTGTTGCAATAAATGCATACAGAAATGTTGTAAAAACAATTAAAATCTGTAGATACTACGAACAAAATAATATCATGACCGAATTAGCGAGTCATACGATTGCAAGCTTGGAAAGCGTTTTGATGTCGCATCAAGATAAATTCTCTAATGAAGAAGCCATTGAAATATCGAGTGTGTCACCTGCCATTGCTGTTTCGAGTTCATTGACATCTCCAACACACATTAAAATATCACCTACCATGGCGAATCAAATGTTTCATACTGGATCGAAACAAATGCAACCTGATCTAAAGAGGGACGTTTCCTCAACAAATATTCAACAGCATACGTCGAACTTTACTTTTGTTCAAAATCAGGGTGGACCAGGGATGCAACAGTATATGCCAGTGAATCAAATCTTTGATTCGTTCGCAATGCAAATGCAACCGCCAATGATGATGACATCTAGCGAACCATATTGGGATCTTGGAATGGACCTCTCAGGACAATCAAACATGGTCGGCGGATATAATAATCATTCATACAACAATATAACGCCCACAATTCCCCTTCCTACAGCTTCTTCAACCACATCTACTCCAGCCTTATCTACTACTACAACTGTGGTTACAACTGCCGCCGATTATTTTTCACAACAACAACAACAACAACAACAACAACAACAGCAACAGCAACAGCAACAGCAGCAACAGCAGCAGCAACGACAACGATCACCACAGCGACAGATCTCGCTCCCAGTTTCTTCGCCAATTCCAATTTATGCTGCAGCTCAATCCAATGAAACTCAATCAAGATCTAGCCAAATGTCTCTAAATTCTATCGAACAAGATAATGGTTCAGGATCAAATATGATGAATGAAAATATGAGTAATGTCGAGCTACAAAATATTCATCCCTCACAAAGGTATGTGTTTACGGGTATAAATGGCAATAATTCCTCAATTGCAAATGCAAACGGTAATGGTGGATTTGTTATTGAGGGAGAAAATTTCTATGGTCATTTATCTGACTCAAATGAGACTTATCAGAGAATTTTCAACAAGATCCCTGGACGAATGATAAAGAAAGAAGATGAAGACGAAGCAGGTCAAGTCATCGCTAATGGTAACGATTCACCAAATAAAGATGCAATAAGTGTTTTATCTCGGCGTTTAAGTGGACATTGTTGCGTTACTCCTTCCTTTAACGATTTGAAATTCGGTGGCAGCTTTGGATCCAATAGAAATGGTAATGATTATTCCTCTTCACCAATTGGAATCGGACTTGAAAATAATCATTGTCATATTGACGGTAACGGTTATAATAATTCAAGGGAAATGAAGGAAGTTAATGTCGGTTTTCATATTGGACATTACTAAATGGACCTAAGATTTTCTCATGGACTTTGATACAAAAAAAGTCCCCAACCACCGATTGTAACATAATCTAGTTTATTATTATCATCCTTTTTTATTTTTTATTATTCATCATTGTATTTTTTTAAGAAAAAAATTTCCACTTTTTCGCCCCCATTTCTTCTTTTTTTCTTTTTGTATTTTACTTTATGTTAGATATCAATTTATATATTATTTATCTTTTTTATCAATATATTGATTTAACATGGGATAAAGAGTAGTTTTTTTATATCCGTTGGGAATAGAAGAAGTATATGGGCACGGGTGTCACAAATATTTCTAGTTCAGGCATTATATTTTGGGGATTAAGTTAATTTTTTTAAGGATTATATGGCTACGAAAAAAAAAAAAACAATTATTTTGGGTCATTCATTTATAAGCATACATGATATTATTATTCCAGCATTCAATGTATTTATTTCTTTCACGAAAATTATTTATTTTATTGGATTTTTTTTTTCAGAAATTGTTTATTTTTATATATACATATATATATTTAGTTCATTTTCTTTTTGGCTGGTACAAAAGAAGAAAAAAAAAATTTGAAACGAGAAAAATGTACATTAAACAATAAATAATTTTTTTATAAAAAAAATATTTGATTTGAATATTTAATGAGATGAAAAGGTTTTACTACTAAAAATACATAAAATAAAATACTTTTTGAAATTTACAAAAATTCACGTGCATTTTATGCAATAAATTCACGTGAGAGCGAGAGTATTCACATTTTTTTTTTTTTTTTTTTAAAAAAAAGAAAGGAATTGGCAATTTGTTATGAACCTTTGGTTATCTTGCATAATCTTCGTATATAATACACCTTTCCTTGATAATCAGAAGCGTATGATTATTGATCGTGCATGTAAAAAAAAAAAAAATATTATTATTACGGAATAATAGCACTTGAAAGATGGGACAAAAATTAAACAGAAATTCCTTTCTTGTTTGCTGACAAGTCCGCTTTTGGATTTTGTCCTTTCTTTTGGGCGGCGATACAAAATTTTATTATATATAGATTTATTTTTGGCGCAGCAACAGTTGCATTTTCCGCAGAAAATCCCGCAACAAGATGTTCGAACACATGTTCATACATCATATAAAATTCCAAAAATATTTTCTTAAATGTACCAAACCAAAAATAACATTTTTGATTGAACAAATTTATGTATTTATTTATTTATGTTTTATTTTCTTAGATGGGATATACTCAATGGAAAACAAATGAAAAAGTACATTTTTTTTTTTTTTCCTAAATCAAGAAGCGATTTTAGATGAATTCTGATATATTATATGGAACTCGAATAGAAATGAACTGATCTTGCGTTAAGAAAAAAAAAAAATAATAAAAATAATAAAAAATAGATTCTACAATCATGCAAACCTTTAGCCACATACGCGCGTCACACCACCGTTTAATGGTAAACCTCGGTAAAAGCGAAAGAAAAAAAAAACAACGCTGCTTATGTTTGCCAAATCGGAATCTTTCATACGGATTCCTATTAAAATATATTTGACAATTCCACCCATTTATTAATTTATCAAAAACAAACAAATCCAAAAACAATCATGAAAAAATTGCATCATCTATCTCAGTAAATGCATCTTATCCTTTTGATGAAATCCTCATAATGCATTACTAAATGTTATATAACATTACATTATTAATAATTAATAATATGAATGCGCCGACGACGATAATCGAATTCAATTGATCGTTATTACAGCGTCATTCTCATCTCTTCATCATCAGAAACACAATCCTAGATGATAAATGTTGGAGCATGATAATCTTATTCGTTGTGTTGTATGGCACAATGATCTTAAAATGAAGTTATGGAAGATGATTTTAATAATATTCTTTAACAATTAATTGAATGATTTGAATTTACAATAATAAAAATCATCTGCTTATCCCATATCTAAAAAGGCATTTTTGACAAGAATCGTTATTTATCTCGAGAACCGTAAGTTAATGACCCGAAATATTATTACGAAAACATCTTCCATTGAATCGATTAAATCAAATCATAGAGTTTTAAATAGAAGACACCGATAATTTGCGGCGAAAGTTCGTAAAGAAGAGAGGTGTAATGACCGCAATGAAAATCAAATGATGATGATGATTTTTTTGTTTGTCTGGTGACCGTACCAAAATATACAAATAATTTTTTTTTTCTCACGTTTTTATATAAATGTAACATATTTCCATAATTGTTTCCTTATGATAAATCACCGTCCAAATTAGAAAATCGATTATTCAAAGTTCTTTCTAAAATCTTTTTTTCTTTTTACAATGATAACGTTTCAAGCCTAATGGCTTGTTGCAGGGCTTGGAAATTTTTTTTTCCCATTAAACATTAAGTAAATATTTTTTTTTTTCGCAAAGCCCGTTACCAGGAAGGATTACTTTTTTTTTTTTTTTTGTGGGGAAAATATTCGATACAAGGGACTTTCCGTTTTACGACTTATTCAAGAAGGGATGATGTTTCAAGAAAAAAAAAAAGAGAAATGAATTCGACGCGATAACGCGTACAAAAAAAGTAAATTTCAATGAATACCTAATCGCTTGAAAACGAAGCATGTCAAAAGAATCATATCATTTGGGTAAAAGATTAATTAGGGAAGTACGAGGTCAAAAAAGGGATTATGAATGAAGACCCAAAAGTTCATATATCCGGTTCTCTTTGATAAACATCTCTTTTACAAGGCTTAGATAATATCAATCATAATAAAAAAGTACATGACATGTAAATAATAAAGTTTTAGATTATCGTTTCCGACAAAAAAAAATCATCTTGATGAGCTAATCGATATATGGGTTCTTTCATTAAAATGACTAGACAATGGAAAATATATGTCATATGCACCATTGCGCATCGCATCAATCGTTCTTCAAAGGCCACTTTATATTTTTCCTTTTTTATAGAGACGGGCTGGGACTTTTAAGAGTTTTTTTTTTTTATCTTTCTGTATTTAAACTGGGTAAGGTTTAAAAAGAACAACATGTAGTAGGTATATCAATCATATCGATAAAAAAAAAAAAAAAAATTTTAATTATAAATTTTAAAATTGGATTATAAGCTTGTACCCGTATGAAAAGGTTTTGCGATGGTTCAACAAATTTTGTTTGGCTTTTTTAATCATCATGAACGTTATCAATTTTCTCGATAAAGTTCTAATTACATTTCAAGTTACAAGAAATCCTTTCCAAAAAAAATTTAATTGAGTAATCATTTCCAAAACTTTGCTTCATATGTCCAGAAAAGGTTAACCCTGTCCAACGACATTAACAAATGCAATTACCAAAAAAGAAAGATAACATGATAAAATTGTTTTTTTTTTGTGACAAGGTTTTTTATTATATTAAAGTTGAACTGTAAGAAAATATGAAAATATGGGATCACAAAATAATAATAATAATAATAATTAATAACAAATAAAAAAAAAGGAAGGAAAGAAAATAGAATGTGTGATGAAAATTTTTTTTATTTTAAAAAATAAAAAAAGAAGGTGGTTTAAAAATAACCCTTGACATACATACATGACATGTGAGGGATTAATGAGGATTTTCAAAGACCAATCGAATTTTATATTTCCATCGGATCCCAATTGAAACCATTAAAAAAAATTTTAAAAATGAAGAAAATGTTGTTCAAATTCAGTATTCACAAACTTATAAAACATTACATTTTTGGGGGGTCAATCCCTTTAACCTGTTAGCTATATTTCGAAATAATTAGTAAATCAAAGGGGGAAACAAAGCACCAGAGATAAAAATGCGCTAGATCATATTGGCGAAGAATGCGTGATGACATGCATTAAATTTTATCTAACCACTTAAACACCGAATCCCAAACGTTCATTATTTCCAATTATAAAAAAAAAACTGGTGATGATTTGGAATTCTACAAGAAATGTCACGTGCCTGATGAATCGGTGTTGAAAATGAACAAACTAATCACATTATGAAAAAAAAAACTTGATTTCATCCGGATATGTTATGTAAAATGAATAAAAAAAAAAAAAACGGGTTTATTCATTCCATTGAATTGAACCCTTGTCAAAACAAAAAAGAATTTTTTTTTTTTGTACAAGGGACTTTTTTTTTTCGATATTTAAGCTAAAATAAATACTTTTTTTTTATATTTAATATTTTTTTTTCTTTTTCACGACCGACAACACGACCGACAAATTTTAGAGACACAACATTTTTTACATGACTAGCATTTTTTACATTATTACATTGAAAAATAAAATAAATAAACTTTTAGGTACGTGTAATACCGGTAAGTTGGGAAAACAAAAAAAAAATGAATGATTCTATCATCAACGTACAGCGTTCGTTTGAAAAGTGAAACATTCTTCTTATTGTTTATAGATTTTATTATAATTGTCCAAGCCTCAAAAAAAAAATAAAATAAAATAGTATGTGTTTCTTTATTTGATACATGTTTTTGTCTTTTTTTAAAAAAAATTTTTTTTTTAAATATCCTTCTTTTTCGATATTAAATTTTCAAATAAATAATAAACCTTGAAAAATAAATTTATAAGGTTAATAATAATAACATCTTGACATTTCCCACAAAAAACATATTTATATATTATTTTTTTTTGCCTATTCTTCTCTTCCACTTTTTCTTTTCCCTCTCATCATTCTCTTTTAGATATTATTCTTTTCGAAACAAAAAAAATAAAAAATAAAAAATGAGCAATAAAGCTAGCATAGCAAATTTATTAAACGATAACACGTCATATGTTCAGCACGCAAAAAACTCTTTTATACCATTCTCACATAACAGTAAAATGAATTTTATTCCTTCACGATTTACAACTACAAATTTTGATATACCATCATTACAACCACGACCTTTATCCACAACTACAGATTTCATGGAATGTCCCAATTTGCCTCAATCTGATACAACAATTATTAGTGGAGTACAAATTGTTACAAATGATGATCCGCCGTCGTTAAATTCCGTATGTAATATTATGTATTTAAATGATTAGCTGAACTAACGATTCTACCACATAATTATTATTTTTTTTTTTCTCTCTCATCTTTCCTCTTCTTATTTTTCCTTTTTTTCGAAAAAAAAGGGAATTTAAAAGAAAAAATATATTTATTCCTCTTTTTTCTTATATTTATTTATTTATTTTTTCTCGGGGGTTTTTTTTTCCTCTTTATATTTTTTTCAGTCTCCACGTATTCAGCCCCCCCAAGAAGAATTCACTGAAAATAATTGGCTACCTCCTTTATACCCACAATATTCTTACGACTCCCCTCCAAAAATGCCCATATATAAAAAATCTAAAAAGAAAGGACAAACAAATAACAATGATGTCGATGATACAAACTCGTCCACTATACGTCCTAAACGTAATTATACAAAAAAACCTCTTGATAGACTAAAAAGACCACGAAATGGTTACATGATTTACATGAACGAGGTTTATGATGATGTTAAACGTAACCATCCTCACTTAAAATTTGGCGAATTGAGCACGCAAATCGGTATTCAATGGAAAAAATTGACCAAAGCCGAACAGATGGTAATTACAAAGTGCAATCTTTTTTTTCTTTAAAAAAACAAAAAAAAGGTTTGCATATATTTTCACAAAACGTTTTTTTTTTCTTGCTAATGCCTTTAAAAAATTTTATGTAGCCATATCATCAAAAACATGAAGAAGAAAAAAATGCCTATGAAAGTGCGAAATTGGCCATGTCAAGAACGAATTTACAGATCGTTGAGGAAACGATCGGCATTGAACGACAGGTTAAGGCTGCCGAATTAAAAGCTTTCGAATTAATAGCAGCAAAAAATAAGAAAGATAACAAGGTTGAAATCAAAGTTGAAGAAACGCGACAACTTTCTCAGAGTGAAACTCCATCTTCCCGGTATCAGCCACCACCAAATTATCGTGAAGTAGCCCCTTGCATTCCAACGCCCGGAAACAGTGTTTTGATTGGTTCAAACGTCAAAATAGAACAGAAAGTTATTAACTCGCATTATCCAAAGGGTAATAACGTTTCTCGTCATAATGAAAAACCTCCTACTAGAAATGAACCACGTAAAAGCGATGTCGCTCCTTCAACGGTTTTACGCAAGTTGAAGCCAAAACCTGACATACCAACTTCACCGGTTTTCATCAATCGAGCACTACAGCTCACAACGCCCCAAACCCTCTCTTTACCCATTTTCACACCAGAAAACGCACGTTCAATAAGACGGAATACCGTCAATTCACCTGCACGTGAAGCTCAAAGGGTAAAATATTTTAAGCAGCATTTCCCAGATCTAAATGTCCAAGATGAACGTAAGAATGAACGAGCTTTTGTGAACCTCTCGGAATGCAAGGGTGAGTCTATCCCGCAATCTGTTGTGGAAGTTGTAGATAAGGACGTTAGTCGAAGTGATACCGATGAAATGAAAATTTTTGAGACTGATGACGACGAAGAAGAAATCGATCAATTACTACCAAGTGATCAATCAGATACGGAAATGGAAGGCATCGAAATTTCATCTTCCACATGCAAATCACCTGATACGTCAACGATGTGGTATTTGCCAATTGGGGGAACGATAGTTTCCCCTGGACTAACCCCATTTAGAAAGAGAAAAGTCATCAGAACGGAGGAACCTGAAGAGGTGGTGGTTGAACCAAAACGTTTCAAAGAGAAAGAATAAATCAAATTGACGAAATGATTTAGAGTAAAAAAATATACAAAAGAAGTTTTCATTTTGTTTTAGAATTAATCATTTATTCATCTTCAAAATAAAAAAAAAAACTCTTAAAAGCCGAATTTTACACTAAAAGTAATATTATTAGCTTTTAATATATAGAATAATAACTGAAAATTTTATCTTTTCCTTTTCACATTTTATTTTCTAAAATAGTAACAAAAAATTAGTGTATATAGATATTTAAGATTTGGCAACCAAAAATTTTGTGTAGTAATATATTGCATTATGTCATTTTTTATGATTTTAGAAAAATAAATTATTTTTGTTTAAAATGCATTTAAATTAAATAGATACTGATTAGTTAAAGTCACTTTCTTCAAATAATTCATGGAATTCAATTCTTTAAATTTTGGCATATGATGGCTTTATAGATCGCAGAGATATGAAAGCATTAATCACCTGTTGGTCAACGTTAAGAGTTGTAATGCTGGTCGACAAATTCATAAATATGAATCATAAGCCGGCCAAGCCGTCGTCTGAAAGATCGATCGATCGATACCAACTTGTATCACAATGCAGGGGAAAAGTCAGAAAATATATAAATATTAATTGTTTCACCTAAAATTAAAATCCATTCGAATCAATCTTCTTTGAACATACATTTTCTTTTTTTGATAAGATAATAAATTTCCTTTTTAAATTTCATATTTTTCTTTTATATAAATGTATTAAAATGGAAGGTCATATGTGCATTGGTGTGGTGAGATTCAAAGTGATTGAATTATACATATTAGTGAGGGGAAATATGCAAGTGATTTATTAACCGTATAAAGAACATCATATGCTAAACAAGATTTGATTAAATATTTTTATTTTTATTTTAAGAATATTTATTGCATGTTTTAAGCATTCCGTGCAGGAGAGGTTTTCATCAATTTCGCAAACTTAATTTGAGAAACTTACACACTAGGAAGTATTTGTAAACCTCTTATTCACAGTAATACATACAATCTAAGAATCAATAAAAGAATTCGATCATGGGACTTGAAAAATTGATTAATCTTGGACAAAAAAAGAAAACGTTGTGAAAAAATAACTTTATAGATAGAATCTTTGTCAAGTGCAGAACTGTTTGTATTGCAAATATATATATAATTAATTAAATTGACTAATCTTTAATAGATTATTCCCTTTTTTATCTATACATTCTTTTTGTTCCTCCCTATTCGGGTCGTGTAATCTAAGTCTCCTTTCTTAATATAGAACATAAGTCTCGACCATTGCAGATTGTTTGAGTTTTTTTGTTCTTAAATCTCAATACAGTTACAAATCTCTGTAATTTGTAAGTTAATCGATCTTCGTGTTACACAGGTTGTCAATAGGCAAATTGCAATTTTATTAATTTTATTGCATTGCTTGCACGCACACAAACCCCATTTGATTTTATGATATTTTTGTTTCTGCCTTTTAAGAAAGGGTATTAATTACATTTGGAAAATTTGGTTGCCAAACATGTACCTTTCGATATATTGAAATCGAACTATTGCAGATTATGACAATCTCTTGTAAATCGCAATATAAAGTTATGATAAAAATCGAGATTATGTATCACTGTAGTTTAACAAACCTTTGAAATTCACGAAGTCATTTATTAACTTTTTGGCATCATCACAAACATGACCATGTATCCGAAACCTATTTATGATGCGTGGCAAATTCTGGAGTCGGCTCAATCAGCCGATAGACACTTTTCAGTCGACTCGGCGTCGATTCTCATTTTCATCATAAATAAAGACTAAAAATTTGAAACTTTATTTAATTGATATATTCTGACATTTTATCAATTTGGAACATGCGACTCAGTCAAGTCATTGTTGATTTATGCAGAGTCGACTCAGCCTTCAACTCCAACTCTGACGGTCGGTACATTCGAGACGTAATTCGAACCTGATCATGTTAACCTATCTATTCTGGTTTTTTTTCCTTCGAGTAAGATTATCCATAATTTAACGATCTTTATAACTTAACATTGCCGGATATATATAAGAAATCATTGATGACCATAAATTATATTCAAAAAATAATTTCAGACTTTTATAAAAATTTTTTTCATTCAACTTTATTAGTAGCATTTAATTAGATGTGCGGAAGAACTTCAATGAAAATTTAATTTCTCTAAATTTAAACAAATTAATTAATATACTTAATTATAATCAAATTTACCGTGTTGGGTCAGATCAGTACGATTTAATTGTATTGTACCGGATATTATAGATCCAGAACGGTACGATCCGTTTTGATCAAGTCAAATTATAGACGAAATAAAACTTATAATTCTAACATTTTGCCTTGCTTAATCAATATCATTATTTTGTACTTCCATTCGAATTATTGTTATTATTATTATGATTGGGAAATGTTGCTTGTGATTTACCATCAAGCCACATTTCGTGGCGCAGCTATCGCTGAAATGTGGTATGGGTGATCTAAGAAAATCAAGTAAATTATTACATTTTAATCTAAATATAATAAAAACAAAATGTAATTACAATCTCAATTTTGATAAAAAATTTCTCAGAACTTGATTTTCTTAGATCACTTGTTGCTGCTTTTCTAAATACTTTTAATAAAAATTTATTACTTATTTGTGATTTTTTTTTGTTAGATTCTCAAAATTTGATGCTGCATTCCATTTCAATATGAAAGCAATTTTATATATAAACTAAGCTCATTTTTTAACAGTAATAAATTATGGAGACAGCTCAGTCAGTCGTTATCCTTTTCAGTTTGATTCAGCAGTCGACTGAGTCCCGACCCTTATTTGAAATTAATAACCATTAACATTTTATTATTTGACAAAAAATTTTATAATATAATTAACATTGCAAAAGTAGATAATTATAAGTTTTCATCAGAAATAAATCTGTAAGAATCATTCGGTTACTTAATTTTGATTGAGAATTTTACGAGTCGACGCTACTTGGTTTTTGCAGAGTCGATTCAGCCGTCGACTCCGACTCCAAGCAAGTAATACCAATCTGTAAATGATCATTTCAATTGATATTATTAAAAAAAAGGAAAAAATACAAGCTTCCCGCAAAACAATTTTAATGCATCTTTTACTTGAGCTTTTTTTAAGTTAGATTAACTTTGATCATCAAACATTTTATTCTTAAAATGTATCGAAATTATAAATGATAAATGCAATTTAATCGTTAAACGATTTATTGATTTTTATAATTATTTGACCTTTATTAACATCAGATAACTAATTTCACTATATATTTTAAATAATAAATAATACCAGACGTGTTTACAATCTTAATTTTAATCAACCGAATCAACCCTGATTTGATAATAAATTTTCGTAACTTTACATCGCAAATATCAAGATAGTTTATATATTTAAATTTTATATTTAATCATTCTCACTTTTATTTCATAGTTCCAGCATAAGGACCCTTTCTTTTATAGAATTTTTATTAGTTCTTGACTTTGTAAAAATAAAAACCAACCAAGCGGAATCTACTCTGCCATTTCAAAAGACTGAGTCGTGACTGACCAAAGTTTTAAGAATTAAATTAACGTTAATTCAATCTCATCAGACAATTTCAAACAAACGTTTTACTTTTTTGCTTTACATCTCAAAATATAAAATAATCGCCGGATTAAAATAATGCTAACTTTCAAATGAGAAAATGCGACTCGAAATTAAATCGTAATAAGTGTTAGTGGCGCAGTATCTAAATGGCACAGTAATATTTTTTCATATTCCCTAATTAAGATAGATACCCATTAAAAATTGCTTTAATTGAATCGTATCGTATAAATTTTTTTTGAAACATTAAATGGGAAAATTTTCCAAATATGGTGCATTGAATATCAAATTTATTTATTTTTTTAGTAAAAATAAGTATTTCCATATTCAAATTAAATGAAGGAAATAATTAAAATTTATTAAAAAAAGAAACTAGGTGGAGGGAGGAAATTTTTTTAGGGGTTAACACAAAAACATCTATTACTATACAATAAATTGTCATGCATGCATGTTGAAATTTCCAGCTTTTTTTTTATATGGTTAACTTGGCAGGCAAGTTTTCTATAAATAAATTATTTTATCGACCAAATCGATCAGGACTATTGAAAAGAATTAGAACTATTAAAGGAGTGACAAAAAGATTTCTTAAAGATAAAATATTGTCTAAAGAAGAAGAAAATATTTAATCTGTAAATTCTTTTATATATTTGGACTATCCCACTTTCTTGGAAGATTATCATGATTTCGAAAGAAATTTAAGTAATCTAAAACCACCATTCGAAGATGCAAAATTAAATTAACTGTTAGTGTAAGCATAAGTGTACAAAATCAAAAATTTTAATAGAGAAATAATATTTTGATCCAGAACGGAAGACATTGAAATCCGCTAATTGAAACATTACTGGAATTATATAAATTATATTAGCGAATTTAAAAATAATTTCGTTAATCAGTTGGCATTAATTGTGGATAATGTTGATAAGGATTAAAAAGGTTCTATAAGCGTTACATCTACAAAGAGAATTCGGTTCATGCTGAATACAAGACGCTTGATTCTCATACATCATGTAGAACATTCTTAATTAAAGTATTAAATACTTATGACCCATTGAAGTTACTAATTATCGCATTGAAGGACTATATACTTTATTATATTTTTCAAAAAAAAAAATTAGATGACGTTTCAACTATTGATAACAGGTAATAAAATCAATTTAATAAATACATATTCCTTCTCACTAAATATACATATATATATAGGCATAGCATAAAAAGTGGAAGATTTACATTTATTATATGAATTTTTTATTTTTTTCACGAACCTGTTTAACAATTCAATAAAAATCTTTTGACATTTAAAGCCTATCCATCTCCTATCTAATATTGTTTAGTAAATAGTCTCTCATACTTATTAAATTTGTCAAAGAATATAAGAATATAATATTGCCACCTCTACCATCAATAC